TTAGGCTTGAATTCGACGTGAATTGATAGATTTAGTGTTGTTTGAGGTGTTTTGATGATTGGAACAAGTTTGAATGAGATTTTAGGACGTGTTGGTGCTTTTGGTTGAGGCCCCGTGGGCTTCGGAGTGGTTTCAGATGGCTAACGGGAAGAGTTTTGGACTTGTGTAATTGCAGAACTTCTGCTGCTTGGTGTTTTCGCACCTGCGGTTTGGGGACCGCAGGTGCGGCATCGCATGTGCGAAGGATTATCCGCAGATGCGAATTTGAGGAGTGAGGTCAGGAACCGCAGATGCGGAATAGGGACCGCACCTGCGGAGCTGCAGATGCGGCTATTGGACCGCAGATGAGGTTAGGCGGGATTTAAGTGAATTTCGCAGATGCGGAGAAATGACCGCAGAAGCGGGTAATTGACCGCATATGCGATTATGACTGGGCAGAAGGTATAAATGGTTCTTCTTCGCGATTTTTGAAGGGTTTATTCATTTTAACTTCGGACTTAGAGTTTTTGGGCGATTTTGAAGAGAGATTTCAGGGGAACTTCGATAAGGTAAGGATTTTGGACCTAAAACACAATTCTATGGTGATATTTCATGACTTAGGACTGAAAATTAAGGAATTTTTGGACTAAAAATGGAGGTTTAGGGCTTGAGATTAAGAGAGTCTAAATTGGAAATTTGAGGGGTCAATTGAACTCCGATTCTTGTGTTTTTGATATATATAAACTCGTGGGGAGATAAGGAATCTAATGATGTAAAAATTTCTGAGTTTCGAGAAGTGGGCCCGGGGCTCGGGTTTTGCTAATTTCGGGATTTTTGATATTTTTTGATTGTTTTCGCTTGGGTTTTGTTCCCTTATTTCGTTCTGGTTTTGGTCAGATTCGACGCGCGAGGAGGCCGATTTGAGAGGCAAGGGCATAGCGAGCTAGAGCTTTAGCCGGTTCGAGGTGAGTAATGAATGTAAATGATGTCCTGAGGGTTTGAAACCCCGAATTTGCACATCGTAGTGCTATATAGAGGTGAGACACGCGCTTGATGATGAGCGTGGGGGTCGTTTACTATTGGAGATTGTGACTTGGTCCGTCCCGAGTAATGCTTTTACCGCGTATTTGATTGAAACTTAATTGATATCATCATTATTTGGATTGATTGCCATATTTGGGCTTCGTGCCAACTATTTGAACCCTTCGGGGAGTTTTTATCACTATTTCCTCACCGTTTTGATTTACTACTTGAACTCAGTCGTACCATTTTCTTCTGTTTTACAACTCAGCCACTTTTACTCGGTTTTTGAAACTAAAATGATATGTTAAATGATGTTTTGGGCTGAGAACTACAGTTTTACTAATGCCCGAGGGGCTTATATGATTTCTGGACTGAGTATGGCCAAGGGCCAGATGTGAGGATACTATGGGATCGGGCTGCACGCCGCAGCAGTGTTATATTGATATTGATATGAGGCCGAGGGCCTAGATTGGTGCCACGAGATGGCTTGTTATTGCGCTTGGGCCGTAAGGGGCCCCTCCCGGAGTCTGTACACCCCCAGTGAGCGTCGTCGGCGATAAATATATGGATCGGGCTGCACGCCGCAGCTGGTGCTATAGAGTACCGTTCTATGTTATGATTTTTCTTTTACTGTCTATCACTTGACTGCTTATGTGTTGCAGAATTATCATATTTCGTTTTCCATTGGCTTACTGCCTTCATATTACTTGTTTTAAACTGCCGTATATAGATTACTCTGTGTTTCTCCAGGATTTCTTATCTTCAGTCATTATTTTTGCTTATTACTCACTAGGTCGGAGTACTCACATTACTCCCTGCATCGTGCGTGCAGATCCAGGTGCATCTGAGGCTGTTGAGGATTTTCAGTCGGGCAGCACATATCCGAGAGTATCGAGGTAGCTGCATGGCGTCCGCAGCCCTGATCTCTCCCTTCTATCCTTTTGTTTTATCCACATTTCCTAGACTGATTATGTAATAGGCTGTTAAACTTGTATTAGAAGCTCAGACTTGTGATACCGGATCTGTTCGGGCTATGTAGTGGTGTTATCATTTGAATTTTCGCATATTTAGCTCTTGTTCCAGGCTTTTATTATGGTAATTTGGCATTTTAACTGTGTTAGCTAATAATAAACTTTATAAGAAAACGGGTGAGGTTGTTAGTTGGTCAGGCTTGCCTAGCAGTGTGTTGGGCGCCATCACGACCTGAGATTGGGGTCGTGACAAGTATCATATTGCAAAATGTGCAAAGCAACTACTTTTGACTAGGGCTGTCAAATTGGCCCAAGCCCAAATGACCCGCTCAAGGTTGAGTTGGTTATTGACCTGCTCATTTATTGAGCTCAATCCATTTTGATCCAATTCATCTCAACTCATTTAAAGTAGGGCTAATTTTTAACCCAAATTGTTCTATGAGTAACTTTGTCAAAATAGCTTAGAATTTTTTTCACCATAACAAAAGAAAAAAAAAGTCTTATTTAGTAATTATACAATTCATAAGAAAACAACACATATTAAGGAAAGGTTGATAAGAGTTGGGCGGGTTGGGTTATAATCCAAATTTTAGCCCATCTTGACCCAGACCATCTTAGCCCAAGTAACTTTTGGGCGGGGTCAAATGGCCTGTCCAATTATTGACTCAATCCATTTTGACCCGCCCAAAATTGGTCCAACCCGCCCATTTGACACCCCTACTTTTGACAATTATAAATCTTTCTCACGGGACAGTAGCATAAGGATAATCAAAAGAAATAGGTAAAATACCTTTAAACCCCCCTAAACTTGGCACGTATTATTGGTTACATCCTTGAACTATCCGTGGTCTTAATTTCCCCCTATACTTGGTTATTCGATAGCCGTTACCCCCTTGAACGATCTCATCCTAGAAAATTGGCATGCACTCGCCTGCCACGTGTATTTTCCCGTCCATGTCGCATTTTTTTGAAAAATAAACTATATTTTATACCTTTTTAAGTGTGTTACTTTTTTAGATAATTTTTTTCGAATAATATTTATAATAAAAATTGACAAGAACTACATTATTTAGGCTAATTTTTTTTATTTGGATAAAAATAATAAAGTTTTAGTTATTATTTTTTGAATTTGACCTTATAGATTTATACAGCTGAAATAAATTGTTAAGGCACCTAAAAAGATATAAAAAAAATACATAGTTTGATTTTTATTATTTTGGCTATAATTTTTTATATAACTCTAAAAATATTATTTTTTACAGATATTACTAGAAGAAGTAAAAATACACAGTTAAATAAATAGTCATTGTATCAAAAGAAGAAATAAAAAGAGTGTACAATTGCAAGTTCATTATTTTGGCTATACCTTTTTATTTGGTAAAAAATAATGGAGCTGTAGCCATTTTTTTTTACTGATTTGACTTGAAAACACACAATTAAAATAAATAGACATTATATTTAAAAAAATAACAGAAAATACACAACTATTACTCCATTTTTGCTAAAAGTTTTCTATTTGGCTAAAATAATGGAGTTCCAACCAAACTCTTACAAATTTGGCTCCAGAAAAAAATATGCGGTCGGAACAAAAGACATTATATCTATAGAAGAAAGTAAAAAGAATAAAAGCTAGAGTAAAGTTCATATTATATGCTAATAAGATGAAGCAAGAAGAAATATATAATTGTAACAAATAAATCATTATATATAACTATATGACAACTAAAAGTTAAAAAATAACCTATTTGAAAGTTGATTTTTTCAACTTTTTTTTACTCCACATGCTTAAAAGAGAGTGCACCCACACTCTTCGCTATATCAACGTCCACATCACGTTTAGGGTGGTTTTAGGTATTTTGCCAAAGATATACTATACTACGGACATTTAATGCGGGATGAATTAAAGTTCCTTTGTTTTAAAGTGGTGTTTGTTTCCAAAGTAGGAGAAATTTTATCGCGATTCTTTTTTCGTGTGGAAAATGAATCACATGGAAGTTCTTTCAGCCATAAAGCCACTAGTCAATGTTTGAAATTTTTTAATACTACTCCAGATGTGTTTTTCATTTCGTGCGAAACATATCTCTAATTATGTTTGGTTGCCTTTTTTATTTATAAAAAACAAATATTGTTAAACACTTTTTGAGGACAAACGGCAAGGTTAATTTACAAGTATCAATGTTAAACAATGTATTTCAAAAGTACTTGTTCCAGGAGCAAATTTTTGCGACATATTTGTTTTTGTCAGCATAACAAAAATAATTTTAGATAATTCGCACAAAACATAATAATGTTAGCTCAGGTGAAGAATGAGATGGAAGAATTGGTACTGTTAGAAAAGTCTAAGTAACGAATTAATAAAAGAATGCGTTTTCTGAGATTAATAATTTGATACGGACTGCTACTGTATTAAACTCGTTTATTTTTCTCAATAACGTATTCATCATAAATAAAGATCAAGTGTTTTTGCAATGACAACAACTGAACAATAACCTCATAACAACAATTGGTTGGAGAGAGGTTTATACTCTTATCTAAAGCTGATAATTTTTTCAAGTTTTTGGTATATGGAAATATATTTTGGTAATTAAAATAATTTTATTATCAAGTAATCATTATGTACAGTACATTAAAGAAAAACTAAAATAACTCAACATCAACCAAAACACTTTATAGTTAACTAATAGGAGTACAATATTCTATTGATAGTAGTTAAGTTGCTCCAATTACATAAATATATCGGTTAGTCAATTTTCCTTTAAATTTAATTTGTTAGAGATTAACGATACTTAATCAAAAGTTTAGACAAAAAATATCTGAAAAAAAAAAAGAACCATAACCCAACTCCAAATCCGAAACCCACATTCGGATTTTGGGTACGGTCCATGTGACCCGAACCTGTTAGAACTGAACCCATCTGAGTTTTCTCATTTCTGAATTCTCATCCATAAACCCTACCAAAATCCCCTTTCTTCATTCGCCGAAACTCATTTACCAATTAAGCGAATATCTCAATCTACCAAAGTAAAAATGCGGAATCAACAGCGATGGCTTCGTCTTCTTCTACGCCACCATTCTTATTCCAGGAAACTCATCACTCCTTCTCCGTTTCAGGTAAATCACTCTCTTCGTTCTATCACTTCTCCAACTATCCCCTCACGTGCTTCTCACATGCTCTCTTACCAACGCCTCACCATTCGTAATCTCTCCACGTCTGAATTAGCTGTCGAACACAAAGATTCAGATCACCAAATCGCTGTTTTAACCGACATTTTCTCTAAACCTAACCGGAATAGTGACGAAATTAAGCTTGATTTGGATTCTAACAATGTTATTATGACCCACGATTTGGTTGTAAAGGCGTTGCGGAGCTTTAATACTGCCCCTGATTCGGCACGTAGGTTTTTTAACTGGGTTTTAGAGAGTGATAGCGAGAGGTTGAGCTCAAAGGTGTATAATTATATGCTGGGGATACTGGGGTCTAATGGATTTGCTAAGGAGTTTTGGGATATGGTTGAAATTATGAAAAGTAAAGGGTATGGAGTGTCACGGGGTACTTTTAATCGAACTATTGAGAGATTTGAAAAGGATAAGCTGAGCGGCGATGTGAAGAAGCTAAAAGAGTTGTATGGTCCTGAGCTGGCTGATAATTCGAGCGAGGAAGTTTGTTCTAGGGTTTGCAAATTGATTCGCGGAAATGTATGGGGAGATGACGTGGAAAAGCAGCTGCGAGGGTTAAATCTCGAGTTTTCTAGCGAGTTGATCACTGTGGTTCTGGAGAAGCTTGAATGTGAAAGTAATAAGGCTTTGATATTCTTTAGATGGATTGAAGAGAGTGGTCTGTTTAAACACAACGAGCGGACTTTTAATGCTATGGCTAGGGTCTTAGGTAGGGAAGAGTCCGGTGAGAAGTTCTGGAGGTTAGTTGATGAAATGAAAACTGCTGGGTTTGAAATGGAAAGGGAAACGTATAATAAGGTTCTGGAAAATTTTGTTAAGAGAAAAATGATTAAGGATGCTGTGGACTTGTATGAGTTTGCAATGGTTGGCATAAACAAGCCATCCTCACAGGACTGCACTTTTCTGTTGAAGAAAATAGTTGTTAGTAAGGAGCTTGATTTGGACTTGTTCTCAAAAGTGTTGAGGGTCTTCACAGAAAGTGGCAATTCATTGACTGGTGCTAACCTCGATGCCATTCTCAAGTCTTTGACCAGTGTTGATAGATTTGGCGAATGCGACAAGATATTAAAAGCAATGAAGGATGTTGGTTTCACACCTAGTCTTAATCAACAGAGCAAAATTGCTTTTCATTTGGGTAGCGGTGGGAAGGATAAGGATTTGAACGAGTTTATGAATAATATAGAATCATCAGGCAATATCCCAAATTCTAAAACCTGGACATCTTTAATTGGAGGGTACTGTGAAGCTGGTGATCTGGTTAAAGCTTCAGATGCATTTGAAATGATGGTTGAGAAAGAAGGGTCCTCTCATGCTGGGTATGCTTTAGAATTGTTGGTTTCTTTGCACTGCCGCAAGAGAAGAGCAATTCATGCCTTCAAACTTGTCAAGAAGATGGTCGAGGAGAAAGAACTATGTGTGTGGCATACCACATATAAGTTATTGGTAGGGAAATTATTGGCTCAACGGGGTTTCGAGGAAGCTCTGGATGTTCTGCATTTGATGAAAAGTCAAGGTTATCCACCTTTTCTGGATCCATTCATCAAGTACCTTTCCAAGACCGGAACTGCTGATGATGCCCTTGCATTTACTGAAGCAGTGACCGTGAAGAAATTTCCATCAACTTCTGTATTTCTCAATTTGTTTGAAGCATACTTTAAAACAGGAAGGCGGAGTGAAGCACAGGACTTCCTTGCAAAATGTCCCAGATACATTAGGAACCATGCCGACGTTTTGAATCTTTTCTGTTCCATGAAAAATCAGAAAGCAACTGCCACCATTCCTGCAGCTGCATAGGTTCAGATGGATACATCATCTAGTTTTTTGTACTGCAAAGTGTTTGGACATTTTTTGCCTAATATTTTCTTATGAAAGTTGCTGCCATCTCTGCTTTCTCTAAATATTGGGGCTTAGTTCCCTTAGAAACTGTTTTCTAATTGTAATTCACTTGGTGAAACTTAATTGACACAAATAAGGACAAAATTGCGTTGGAGTCCCAAAGTTATTGGTGAACACTTCAACTTTATACTTAAGTTATTGGAGAATGCTTCATCTTGACTCCAGTGAGTTGATCATGTTGTGGTTTTCTGAGTAAAGTTTGAGGGGAAAAAGGCCATGTCATTTGGTCTAGTCCATTACTGGATTCATCATGGAGATTTTCTTAATTCTTGCTTTACTAGATTACGTAGACAACCTTGGGAGATTTTCATGTTTATAAGGATTTGCTATTATCAATTAGATCCAGCTCAAGTTTTTCATTTCTTGTGTCTATAGGTACTTGTTGATCACTGCAAATGCCCTTTAACTCCATGATATTATTTTTTAACTTAATTGTGCTACATTAACTCAAGTTTTTGCTGGACCTACAGTGTTAGGATAATTCATCTAAAGATTTATGTTCCAATATGGCAATGTCTATTGGGTCCTTCTTGATAAAGATCTTAGTTGTTTTCTGCTATTTCCTTCCCATAGAATGGCACGAAGCTTTTCTGCGGGACAAGCGCACATATAGTCATTCTTTGGGATGCTATTTAGAGATTAATCATATATATTTTGTCCTAAAATTTTAAACTAAAAATCTTAACTACAGGACAATTTAGGACATTTTTGTCCTGAAAATTAAACTGAAAAACTGAAATTCAGGACGTACTGGCTAATTCTTAAATAATAACCCTTTAAAGTGGCTACCTGGTGTCATTACCTTTTTCTGTAGTGGCTTTGGAAATGGGCTGTCTTGGCTTGGTGTAATAATTCCTAGTTATCATTTTATTGGGGTTTTGGTATGGTGAGATATTGGCATCAAATAGCCAATGAATGTATATCACAACAATAATGTGTATATCACAACTTTTTTTATTTCCCTTGTGTATATCAACACGTATATTAAAATTTTATTTTCCTTCTATGTATATCTAAAATATGAAATCATATATATGATTATTTAACATTTATTGTTGCCTTTTTATCAATGTATATCACAATAAAAATAATTATATTATTTGTATATCGTGGTGTATAGCACATCGAATGTATATAAAAAATTTATATTAAAAATTGATTTTCTTTATTTGTATATAATTTTTTTTATTTACACCTATAATTATATTTATTATTCTTTGATCAATAAAAGAAATTGAATTAAGTTTATTCAGAATGAGTTTCACTCTCTTAAAATTAGTTAGGACAGTTTGATTCCGGTTTAACCTTTAATTGCCTTATCTAACTATGTATATCACGATATACAACATGATATATACACGGGTACACATGATTATATACATAGATATACACCACTTCAAACACACATATTTTTATTTAACAAAAGAAGAAGATTGGAGTCTGCCAAAGAGATACAAATCAAATCAAACAAAGCCACAATCAGACGAAGATAAGAAAACTAGATAAAAAATATATCTTTTTACATAATTGCCACTGTGATGAGAAGATCTAAACTTAATAGAAAAATGTATACAACCAGTACAACTTCCCAAACATTATCAAAGAATACGCCCTTCCAAATCCATATTGAAAAAGAAAATTTACTAGATTGGAGAAGAAGAAGAAAAAAAAGATTGAAGAAGAAAATTGGAGAAGAAATATGGGGAGAGAGAAGAAAAAATAGAGGGAGAGAAAATAAATAAGAAACTAGGGTTATTTAGGATATGACTATATAATGCCAATTTTTTGGGGTTACCTTTGCCAAACCTAATATAAGGCTAAAATATTGCCAATTCTCTTTATGTATTGTCATACCATGCCATTTTCTCCATTTTATTTGCTTTCTTGGAGTAGTATCTCGTATCCGGCCCATTTTCTTTACAGGCCCTAGTATTACAGAAGGGAGTAGTTACGGATATGTATGTAGGGGTGTTCACAGAAACCCGAAAATCCGAACCAAACCGACCAAAAAAGTCGATACTTTTTGGTTTGGTTTGGTTTTGGTTTTGAATTTTAAAAACCGATCAAATTTGGTTTGGTTTTGGTTTTAATAAGAAAAAAACCGAAAAAACCCGAACCAAACCGACTATAGGAGTAGCTATTTCAAATTTATTATTACACCTATATATATGTATATTTATATACAAAGTTTCAAAAGTTTTATGGTAAATGTTAATAGTTTGAACTTTTAGTATAGTTCTTTACCTTTACATTCTAGTTTGATTGGTAGTTTTCTTTTGTTAAGTGTAAGAATCCATTTCGTGTTAAAAATAATATATTTTTAATTGAGTCCTTAAATTATTCATCACTATTTGATTCAATTATCATCAATATATCTTGGTAAATAATAGATTTCTCAAAGGCAATTGATTTGATAGTGTTACGTTAAAAATGTAGTCACCGGAATATGTGTTTGGTAGTGTATGTCTTATATTTAAGAAAAAACCGACAAATAACCGAAAAAACAGAAAAAACCGAAAAACCGACAAAACCCGACATAAATCGAATCGAGAAAAACGACTTAATTGGTTTGGTTTGGTTCTAATATTTGAAAAAATGGCTTACTTGGTTTGGTTTCTTTTTAGGAAAAAACCGATCCAAACCGAACCATGAACACCCTATATGTATGTTTAATTAAGCAGCTTAATCTCTACATTGAGTTGCTAATAGGGTTTGAATTTGAAATCTCTGGTTAAGGTTGAAAATACTACGAATTTCTTAATAACCAACCAAAAGGACCATAAATTCAAACAATTGATATTCAGTTTGACTAGGTAAATACTAAATACCATCAAGATACAAGACTTTCCTTAAAAGCCATCCAATCCTTTTCAATGTCTCACATAGTCATTTGAGCGTTTCTGTTGTCTAAATTGGATACGTCATCATGGAGATCACTATTCAAATTCATGATAATTTTTAAGGAGGGAGAATTTATTAGCCGCCATTCAATTTGGTAGAGCAAATTCTTCACAAATAGATACACATAATACAATCTTACCAATACGAGCAAATTATTCTTTAGTTGGACAATATTACAATTTTACTTATAGGGTAATTTTGTCTAAAACTTCGCATTGTGCAACTTTTTAAGTAAAAAAGGCCGTCCGGTATACAAAGCTTCCGCAATGTGCGGGTCCGGGAAAGGGCCGGATCACAAGGGTCTATTGTACGCAGTCTTACGTATTTTAACAAAAGGATGTTTCCATGGTTGAAGAGGCTGTTTCCATAGTTTGAACCCCTGACCTCCTGGTCTTTAAGTATTTTACACTAACACCGGTCTGATCTCCAATTTTCCTTTAGAACTTAGAAAACTTTAAGACGTACTCCTTTTCCTCTGTCCCTGCGAGTACTTTCTGCTCATCTTGTTGTACCTGTATTTCACGTTACTTCTTTTTTTACTTTTTCATTTTCCTTAAGAAAGTCCCCCACGAAACATCAGTTGTACGAGAAAAAACATAATCAACAGTTTAAAAATAGGGAAGAGAAAGAATTCAGTTGTAATATCTGATTGTTGGCTGAAAGTGGACAGAGATAGAGATTAGATGTTTGGGAGTATTGTGCCAAGCAGAAGAAGAAGGAAAATGATGCATCAATCCTCTATCAGACAAACTCTCGTTATGGACCTTATTGTCACTTTATGCTTTTTTGTTTATGTTTTTTTATTGAATAATATGTATTGGACCCATCATTAGAATTTGAATATACCTTGACTTTTCTCTAAATTGAAGACGTCTCTTCATACAGTTATATGTTGATAAAATAAAGAAAAATTGTTTGAGTAGTTTAAGTAAAATAATAGTTTTAACGCACGGAACTTTACCCTTATTTTCCGACTGAAATTTATGTCCAAACACAATTGCAACTTTCAAATAAATATTCTTTTTCAACTTAATTTTTATTCTTTTCAACTTCAACCGAATATTATCCAAACACAAATTTCTGAGAGGTTAAGCTAGTCGTCTTAGGAAAATGTTTTGGCATTCTGATTCTAGCTAGTTGGATGGCATTAGACTGAAGGGGACATGTCAATGAGCAAAACGCGATGAGAGTGACCTAACAAACCTATTAATGAATTTTGTTCTTTACCTTTTTTTCATTTGATCAATATTTCAAATAATGTATATAGCTACTTGTCTCGTATTTGAGATGCGTGTATATATTCATATTTCATAGTTCATAGAATTAAGGAAGACAGTAAAAATAAATCTCAGTTGGAGGCTTCTATTTGTCATATTACAAATGGGTTTTTGGAATTTAGCTTCACAGATTTGTAGACAACTGAGGTTCTTACAGTGCATAAGACAATTTTCTCATCAACTTTTGATGATTAGTAGCTGTTCCAGTTTCCAATTTCCTAGTCCTTCAACCCCTTCATCTACCTTCGTTACCCTAGGGGAGGATAACACTTTAATAATGCAATTATTTCAAGGCAAGCTTAGTTTCATATGCAAGTTCCTTCTTTCTTTAATAAACAAAAAGTGAATTATTCAAACCTCCTCCAAAATATAGCAAAATTTAATTAGGTGGACCTCCCTTCTAATTTATCATTACCGTCCATTGATAGGACTCGTCTGTCCATAGATTTTTTTTCCTGTTTTTTTTTTTTCAGAATTTTGTTTCAAAAACGTGTTTGTCCATGAAACTGTGCAAATTTTGGAGACTTTTCGAAAATGAGTTTTCAAAGACCATCTTTTCAAAATTTTCAGAAAAACTTTTATCCCCACTCACAAAATTGCACCATTTTTTCAAGTGAAATGCATGTCCAAATATAATTTTAAATTCCAAATATCAATTTTCAACTAAACTCCAAACACTATTTTTTTTTTCTTCAAAAATTAAAATTTTTATGTCCAAAA